CATTGCAGTGGCTTAGTACTGTAATCACGCGCTTTGCTGTAATAATACAGGGAACCACTCGTTATAAATCTCCTAACTGTGATATTTTCAGAAATAGATGTCGCATTTTTTTCATCTGAAACGTGCTGCGATTTATATTCCAAAGCCACTCATATAATGCAAAAACACTCAAGCAAGCAAAACACGTGCAACGCGTGCACGTATTTGTACTGATGCAGAATAGTGCCGAATAGTACAGCCTAGCGCATTTCACACAAGCTGCTAGATTCACTTTTGCCAGAAAGTCGTGTATGCCTAAGGTTAAAAATAAATGACGTTTATAGTGAATGCCCCTATAAATGGTCTTATTTTGACGATTTAGTTTTAATCCAAATGATGCGTGTGCTAAGTGAGTAAACATCAAAGATCACACAACATAATTTCTCTCTCTCTCTCGCTCTCTCTCTCTCTCTCAGTAACTTGTGCATTGTTTTACTTACTTGTTTTTGACGTATCCGACCGAACTACAAACTTTCCAGTGATGTCTGTGAGAAAGGAATATTCACTCGACAAGCTCGCGCATCTGCGCCGCCGCGCGCTCAATCCACTCAGCGTGCTTTGTTTATCAGCTCGCGCACATCAGCTATACAGGCGTTAATACTGAATGTTTAACATTATATTCATTGCATACATATACTTCGTAGACATCCTTAATCTCTTATAACTCCATTCTGCTGTCTGTTGTTCTGTTGTTGGCGTTTCTTTGTCTGAATATGGCGCTTATCACATACTGTGTGGTATCGGCGTTTGGTATCAGGGCATTTTAACGAGTACGAGCACGAGTACAGGAGACCGGTATCGGGCCCGATACCGAGCATCCCTACTAATGCCCACAGAAGATATCAAAAGCATTGGAGATTTCGGGCAAATAAGGCAATCCCCAATTCACTTTACTATTCTAAATCCGCGATGCTTGATGTTGTATTCTCACATACATGAACTAGGAAAACTGCTTGCTGCTGCTGCTAATGCTATTGCTGTTATATGAACAAGACATGCTTAGTAATTACTCCTCATGCGAATAACCTGCGCGTAGTTTTACAACTTGTATGTTTTCTAGTTTAAAAATGCAAATCTGACGAACGCAATAATCCACTGAATCAGTGTGAAGACCGTTTACTTATCTTAGCTGTTTAGTTTCAGATAAACTCTGAAAGCGCGCTGCAGGAATCTCTAGTGAATGCTAGCCAGCCATATAAATGCAAGGCAGTAAGCTCATTGGCTGCATATGCAGCATGAACCAATCAGCTTGTGCCAAGTCGTTTAACTCTCTGAATATCATCAGTTACATTAACAACCTGTCAGCCTGCACAATCTAGAGTTTCATGACTGAACTATATATATATCACGATATAGTTATTTGTTCTTTAATGAGGTTTTTACGATATCAGTTTTTGATACCATAGAATTTTCATAATTCTTGTCACTACTGTCAATATCACAGAAAAAAACTAATACAAGCCTAAAAAAAAAGAAAAGAAAGAGAAAAACTCAAGATAACTGAAGATAAGTAACTAATTACAAGCAACAGGACAAAAAACTACAACTACAATAAATAAAGTGATTTAGTCAAGAGATTTTCTCTCACTGCTGTTTGATTAACAATGACAGACAGGAGGAATAACAGGCAGCTTCCTATTTAAGATCGAACATCCGGATGCAATATACTGTTACACATGTATTTTCTTTCTCAGCTGTTTACTTTCACTTAAGACCTAAATGACTGTGTTTACGAGGATACTTGCAAAGATGGACATTTTGACACATACATGTGTGTATTTAACTATTCAAGGCCTATAAAGCGGCAAAAATAATCCGTTGGCTCGTCTGGCTGCTGGGGGTCTGGGGGATCTGCTGGAGCTGTGGTCTGAGAGGCATTAAAAGAGATGCAAGTCAAGGTGAGAGCTGGTACTTGTGTTTGGAGCATCAGGGGCCCTTATGAACACATGGACGTACACGCACACACATTGTACCTAATACATAGAGGTTGGACTGGTTAGCATACAATGAAAGGCAAACATCACTGTGCACTAGACACAGGGAGGAGACTGATCAAGAAACATGTTCCCATAAATCATGTTGTATGAATGCAAATGCATATTTCTTATATGAATATGTACATCTAATTAATTTTTCATATCAATGTATTGTATACTGTATATACATTTAAATTACAGATGAAAGTATGAACATTCGCTATAATTTTTCTTTTTTTTTTCTTTTTAGTGAATTGCCTCATCCAGTTCACAAAACCGAATGATTCATGAATCAGATTGAATCAGACACACTGACTCCGTTTGGAAATTTTGGTCTGTTAATCTGTTAAATGAGTCTTAAGAACCAAAAATTATGATACTTTTTGGTATTTTTGTCTTAAGACCTAAATGACTGTGTTTACGAGGATACTTGCAAAGATGGACATTTTGACACATACATGTGTGTATTTAACTATTCAAGGCCTATAAAGCGGCAAAAATAACTATACATATTAATAAAATTTCACGTGCACATGTCTCTCCGACAGTGCGCGCAAGCCGTGCATATAGCGAAATATGTTCTCTTTCACTGCGGATTGCATTTCAACGGCTTAAAACCACTTGTTTTTAAACCACAATCCTTAAAAACGTGTGCAAGCGCAAGTTTTTGTGAGCACGTAGCACAGCAACGTCACATGAGGGTGTAACCGCGATTGAGACGATAGTCCAAAATTTGGTTTATTTGTGTCTACCGGTATATTGCCCACCCCTAACTGTTATTATAAATTGTAATAATATTCTACAATATTACTATTTTTACTCTTACTTTTACTTAGATTTTTGATCAAATAAATGCAGCCTTGGTGAGCTATAGAGACATTAAAAAAAAAAAAACTTACTGACCCCAAACTTTTGTGTACTTTTTTGTACACAAGTTGAATATATATAAAAATACTGTATGTATCAAGGCAGCTCAATAAGGTTTGGAACAGAGCTACTACTATGTGCAATCAATAAAACTAGAGTGCATTAACATGTGAAAATAGAAATAGTCTCTGTAAGCAAAACACATTTCAAAGGAAGCAGTGAAAGGACTGAGAAGACTGAACCTGAGCTCACCTGTCTGCGTAGGGTTCGTGAGAGAGAGTGTGCCCGGCGAGGTGGGGGGATTCGTGGGATGCTCTCTGAATCTGATAAGCTATGAGGACTGATCGGTCTGAACAGATCAGTGGGCACAGTCAAGTGCAGTGTGGGTTCTTCTGTTTGAGACTGGATAGAGCCTGTAGACCCTGTGTGAGGAGACATTTTTCTATTACATTTCATATTGCATCTGCATTTTAAACAAATTCAGAAATAAATTGCAGTGTTCTACCTGTCTGAACGAGTTGAGGTGAGGTTGTGTGGGTACTGTGGGTTGAGTTGGGCTGCAGCGGCAGGAACATGTAGCTGTCATTGGGCAGAGAATGTGTACGGCCCACTGAGGTCTTCTTCACGTACAGTAAGTGCTCATCCGTTGGCTCGTCTGGCTGCTGGGGGTCTGGGGGATCTGCTGGAGCTGTGGTCTGAGAGGCATTAAAAGAGATGCAAGTCAAGGTGAGAGCTGGTACTTGTGTTTGGAGCATCAGGGGCCCTTATGAACACATGGACGTACACGCACACACATTGTACCTAATACATAGAGGTTGGACTGGTTAGCATACAATGAAAGGCAAACATTACTGCGCACTAAACGTAGGGAGGAGACTGATCAAGAAACATGTTCTCATAAATCATGTTGCGTAAGTGCAAATGCATATTTCTTATGAATATGCACATTTTATGAATTTTTTTCATATCCATGTATTGTATACTGTATATACATTTAAATTACAGATGACTGAAAGTATGAATATTTGCTATCAATCATTTTTTTGTAATTTCTTTTTAATGAATTGTCTCATTCAGTTCACAAAACTGAATGATTCATGAATCAGATTGAATAAGACATACTCCATTTGGAAATTTTGGTCTGTTAAATGAGTCTCAAGAACCAACTTTATGATACATTTTTGGTGTTTTTGTGTCCTTTTTTGAAGTAACACTCTTCAGAATTTCTAATTTTTATGGAAAAAAAAATTGGAATGAGGTGAGATTAGTAAACAATAGTAATTACAGTACTATTAAATAACAACTGGACTTTTTTTTAATTTATGGTGAATTTTTCCTTGAAATAACACTCATGCAAGTCCACATAATCTTACACACAGATTTAATTTGTTTTGTTAATATTTCTCGATTATATTCTGATCATTATTTGTGATTAAATGTGTTTTGAGTAAATTTGCTCCCTTCCACTTTATAGTATTTAATCATTCTTTGTGGGTAACATTTACATACCCATTAAGATTTATGGTGGCATTTTTATCCTGCTTTATGGACATTGTGAAGTTATGCACATCTCAGTGAACATTGTTCTGCCTTTTTTCATCCACATAAATACAACAGAAAAATGAAAACAGGCTGGATCTAGATCTCACTCATCTGAGAAATGCTATGTGTAAATTATTTATGGATCTATGGGCATATTTCTGAGACAATGAATATGAATTCAGTTGCGAGGTGACAGAAACCATCAGCCTCCTCCCTTCAGAAGCTGCGCCCAGAGCCTGTACTACTGTAGCTGGCAGACAGCAGAAGCCGACCCCATACCACACTCCTATATTCTTACAAGAAGCATGGTACTAGGGAGAAACTTCACTTTTAATACACAAAAGATAAGACATAAATAAAACCATGAAACAAAAACAAAGAGACACCGGTAGATATGCAGACCGATAGATTGAGGATGCAAACAGGAACATCTAAAAAGTATGAAGAGACTAGATGGAGAAGAGATTCAGAAATGGCCTTTAGACGTGTGGGAGGAAGAATGGGGACATAGCTGCAGAACAGGAAAGGAGCAGATTGACAGGCAGTAATACTACTCTACTGGACTGGACTGGACCATACAAACACCAGGCTGGTGCAAAATGTACAGAGAGAGGGAA